CGTAGGAATATTGTCAAAAGATATTTCTGCTGGGAAATAATATTACCTAGTTGCCGCTAACTATTTTTGAGGAAGAAAATATTGCTGGATATTACTACAAAGTATTTCAATTGGAGAATATTCGAATTTTCCTGTGAAATACTTTTAGAACCTGGAAAATTCAAAAATTCACATTGAACGTCGTTATAGAATACTTCAAATTGGAAAGAAATTTTTGTGGACATTCCAATGCAGTAATTTCACATCTCAAAAATATTATTGAACGTCACCTCAGGATACTTAGCATGACAAGGAATATTTGTTCACATATGCAGTGAAACAACGTGAACAACTTCTTTGAGGTTTTCTTCCTTTTTCTTTTAAATCATTTGCTGTAAAAATTACCGTCATTTTATACACGTACAAAGGGAAAATGAGTTATTCTTCAAAATGTAAGGAAGTGACGATAATGTTTGAGAATTTGAAATACAAGCTGCTGACGGTGCTTTTATTAATCCAAGCGACTTTTATTCGGAACAGTCTTCAAAATAATGCATCAATGTATTAAGAGGATACAGCTAAATATAGCAGGGGAATGATTGACCCGAACAAAGAAGCGCGACGGAGAAGCGAAATGTAACAGCGCAAGAGAAAATGGATCGTCTATTGTCAGACACGTTTCGAACCGCTATGACCGGACCTATATACTTCTCTGTAACTCTTTACACATGCGTTATTTCGATAACTGTTTCGAGCAAAAGTCGTTCAGATTAAGTGGCAGACTGTGGAAATTTGAGAAATGAAGAATAGCTGGAAGCAATGAATAAAATACGCGAATTCTGTTCACCACTGAAAATTGAAAATTGAGTGGAATGTTTTTGGAAGAGTTATCATTGCAGGAAATTGTACATTCAAATGTTACAGAAAAACTGCATTATATTTAATTTCGAAAAAGCTGGGATTATATCAAATTTTATATAATTTCGTAGAATCTTCAGGAAATTCAGAGAACCCTGAATATTTTCATCTCTCCAATTAACGTGGAACAAGAAGTATCCTTTACCTAAATCTCACAGAATACATTCCATTTCATAGCCCATCAGTAACCTACATGATGCACGTGAAACTCGTTTAAAAAGCATTTAAAAAGGATCAGAGATCCTTTCTTCAAAGACCTCTTTCTCGCTACGAAATAACGTTTTCAACGTTGCAGATCTGTTTGATGAATGTCGAGACAGCGATGCCTACTGTGACCAGCGAATCTCGTTTCAGTGGTAGAAGTCAGGATAATAACAATATTCGCCTGGCAAAGAGGAAAACTCATAATTTCTCGCGCAAACCAGCAACCAATTACGTTAAAAGATCCGGGAGCTGCGAGTTCCTCCTTCACGAGGAGGAAGGCGAATGAGATAAGAGGGAAAAGGAAAAGGGAAGAAGCGGAAGAGAAGGAAGAAAAAAGAAGGTGAACAAAGGTCGCTGGAAGGAAGCTGTGTGCCCGGATGACAACTATAGGCCAGCTTCGTCATTATGAATTATCTATGCGCGAGTGACGCCTGCGCCTCTAGGTTGAGTAAAAGCAAATTTCGCTGACGAATCGACAGAAGAGTCCCGCTGTGTCGCGAATTGGGCACGTTCTCTACGTGGAATCGACGGTTCTTCCCCGAAAGCGTGCTTGATTCGCGGGCTAAGACGTTGAGTGTTGTCCTGGAGAGAAGGATTGATGGAATGGCTAAAGTGAAAACTTCGCTTGCGAGGGCTCTTTTGGGACGTCTGAGGAGGAAACGAGATTAGGAGTAGCCTTCTAGCTATTCTTATTTCTTGTAACTCTATTTGTCTAGCTGGGAAGGTTTATTTAATTCAATTCATTCTTCTATCTGATTTTATGCGATGGTATAATGCAAGCTGTGTTATTTAATTTCAATTTCACGTATGGAATTATTTGTGAGAATCTTTGTGATTGTGACTATCGAGAAGATTTAATTTTGGAACATAATAGACAATTCAAAAAATTTTGGTCTGTAGCTTTAATGTAGTTGAAGGTCTTTATAGCAAGGATAATTTAGATTTAAGATAGAAAGGATAGATAGAATGCAGATAATAAAATAGATAAGATTCCCTGCGAGGATTTATCTTTTTGATCATCTTGATTTATTGCTTCGTTCTTTTCTCTTTTACGACTGTCAGAGCACACAAAATTCGATTTTCCCGTTGTTATAGCGAGCATGATCGTATAACACCTCTGTTTCAGCGCTCTGCTTGTCTGAATGTACAATGTGTTACCTTGTTAAGCATGTGTAAAACGTAGACTCGTGCAATTCCTCTTTATTTATGTGAACTACTTCCTTCTGCTGGCATGCATAAAAATTTTATTTTTTATTCGCTATATTCGGAACTACGTAAAATAGAATTAATACTGTTAAGGAAAAGTTGGTAAAGAAGTTAGCGATTTTTATGTACACTTCTTTATTACACTTAAAGAATCGATTTTGACTCATCTTTGTTATCCTTGCGATTCGATAAGTAATTTAACAAATTGTTATCTTTAAAGCTTGATAATTATCGCGTTCCCGATTTTAAGAACAGTTGCAGAATTTGTAAATCATCATAATTTCACGTCTAAACCAACATATTCCTTTGTACAGAATTTGAAAATTATGATATCAACATGCGCAGAGTTTGCAAACTTGTATCACTATTCTTAGAACTTGCAAACTATCACGTCTCTGCTCATAGAATTTTCAAGCTGTTATGGCAGTGTCTTCAGAATTTTGTCAACTTTGTATCTTTAGAACTTGTATTCTATTGAATCAGTATTTATAGAACTTGCAAATTATCATAGCGCTGTTCTCAAATTTTTAGGACTATCACGTTTATAGAATTTGTGAAGTATCGTCAAAGCTACTGTCTATAGAATATTTTATATTGTCAAGTATAGAACTCATAAAATGTCACATGAATAGCTATCAAGTTTGCAGATTATCATATCTTTTAGAATTTTTCATCATACCACGTTTTCTACAATTTTCTACACTTTTCAGACCATTTCATTACTATCCCTTAAGTTTGCAGATTGCTGTACCATAACTCTCAGAATTTCATACAATGTAGAAACTGTGGTATAAACACACCACTGACAGTAAGTACCTACCAAGCTGTTACTAATTAAGTCTGTAAATCTAACTATTACCAATTAAGACTGTAATTCTCACAAAATACTATTTTCAGGCTATCACATTACCACCCTTAGAATCTAACAACGGTCACAACCTTGTTACGATTCTCCAGATGTTCGACCTCCCATAAAAGTTTTCTACTCTCAAGAATTCCGAGTTCCAGACCAAACTAGTGGATGCACCTAGAACAAGCGTTCATCGGAGAGGATTAAGAAGGACGATCGTGCCCGGTCGCCGGGCCGATTGGTTTTTTGGTTGTAAAAGTGACTCAATAAAAGGAGTTTCGATCTGCTCGCGGGTAAAAGCGAGTTTCGCTGACGAATCGACGAGCATAAAACGAGCCGGACGAGCCAACAAAGACGGGACATTTATCGAAAGCTGTTAACACGCTGAACGGGACAACCGGGACGAAATTACTTCGCCTCGCGCCCATCGTGAAAAGTTAAACGTCGATCTACCCGATTCCCGATATTCCATGAATGATAGAACACCTCCTCTTCGACGTCACGGTGGCATAAGCGCGGACTTGGATTAATTAGCGGCGTATATACGTCGAGAAAAAAGAAGAAGGACTCTTCCTAACTACCGTGGAACAATCTTTTTTCCCTCTTTCGGGAACTTTTTCAGCGCATTTGAAGAATTATTAAATTAGCGATAAAACACCCCTCTTTCGATGCTACGGAAGCGTGAGGAAGAACCTTGGATTAATTAGCGGAATTTACGGAAAAAAAGGAACTCCCTTGGTTATATACCGTGGCGGAAATTTTTGGCGGAATTTTTCAGCACGTTCCAAGAATTATTAAATCGGTGATAACGCGGCTTTATTTCTGTTTCATGGGTATGAAAGTGTAAGCGAGAGCGTGGATTAATTAGCGGGATTTATTGAAAAAAAGGACCCTTGGTTAACGCGAGGTAATGTTTCCCCTTTTTTGCAACTTTTTGCGGAAATTTTTCAGTAGATTTAGGATATTATTAAATTAGCGATAACATGGCTATTTTTCGGCTATATGGAAGCAGTATGAAACAGTATGGAAAATTAGAATTAACGGGTCGGCTAAATTGAAAAAGATAGTATACACGAACCGTAAATAATTTTTTAAATCAATGATCTTCCATGTCTGAAAAGAAATATCGTGCGGGTATAATGGCAGAGTAGTTTTGATTATGCTATATCGTATAGTGCTGCGTGTTATGTGATTGATTCCTTTCTATGATCGTTTACGATCCCTTTTTATAGTTCCATCAGTGAAATTGTATCTGTGCTGTTTGATGAGATGAGAATCATTTCAATCAAAAATAGTATTACATTGAACCAATCAAAATTAGAGATTAAACTATAATTAATTTATTCAGCAATTCTCTAAAAGTTCCTCATATCTATAAATTATTCACACATTTATTTTCACAGCAATGATTATTTGCAATCCGATCTAGTAATGATTTACACCAATGCAACCACAAATTAGAGATAATTTCTCATCCCAATAAACAGACTCCAACTCATCCGAAACGTTCAGCCAAGTCCAGCCGAATCATGTGACTGACCTAGCACGTTTGCCACACCGTCTTAAAATCCTATTTCCTTTTCAATTCTCGCGGCCCGTTGTCAAAGGGAAATCACTTTACGAGCAAAAGTGTCTATCGTAGGTATCAGAGTGGACTAAGAACTGCGACAACGCGATAAAAATCGTCTGGGTGTCTCGGATCGTGTGCACGAGGACGCACGAGTTCGTGTATGCTAGCGGCGACGGTGGTGGTGGTGGTGGCCGGTGTAGCGGCGGTGCATCGATTCGGAAACGTTCGAAAAACTTTTCTTCGAAAACTCCGGCCGCGTAACTTGCTACTTACCTTGGCAGCGATCGCCCCGTATCGCGGCAGTCCTCAACTTCCCACAGTCGTTTCGCCGGGCATATCGGCTCGCCGATGTGGAACAAACTTTTCCCAGTTGTTCGTCGAATCGCTCGAATCCAACCGTACAGGGATCGTTCCTCTCCTCCTCCTAGCTTCTCTTGGATCTCGCGGAAATTCGAACTCGCGAAATCCGCGTCCGCTCCTGCGGACCCTTTGCTCTACCTTTACCTCTACCTCTGGACGGAGATCTTCGGTGTGATCTCTGTGGAAGAGACACTTAGGGAATTCAGACGAACACTTTGTTTTTAGAAACAACAGCAGAGTCTTTTCTTTCCGCTTCGTTTCTCGCTGGTGCGTGAGACTACTCGGATCATCCCGTTCTCTTCGATATAGGGTCGATCAACAGTCCGCCTCGCGACGACTTCGCCCTTCGCCACCTCCTCTCAGATACGATCGAGGAGCCCGGAGCCTGTTCGTCGTTTACATTGATCCACGAGCGCGACCCTGTCATCTGTTACTCATTTCGCGCCGCAGGTAGTCTTTCGATCAGCGTGATTTTGGATAAATTTCAGGTGATCTACTTCACCAAACTCGTTTCTCCTGGTAGCGTATGCAAGTGACACTGTGGAGGATGTGAAATCTCCTGGAGTATCATCTCCGCGAGCTCGTGCAAGCGGGGAGAGCCAGGGAGAGCCAGAGAGAGACGGGGAGTTTCGGGAAGAGCCAGGGAGGTCCAACTATGATTTCTCGTAGGAGAAGTTGCTTCAGATGCCTGCCACGTTGCTGCACGCTGCTCGCAGCATCCTCTGGTAACCTGGGTCGCGTGCACGACCCACGACGGAGCTTCTGTCGAGAGGATTCTCGTGTTTTCCGGGCGGATAGTCGACGATCAGGACATTTGGTCGGCTCGTCGGGTCACGGACGCGATATCGACGCGATTCTACGGGTCGAATAGAACTGTTTGCCACGACTGGACGGGGAACGGCGTTCGTCGAGTGCCGTGGAAACTGTCTGCCGTCCATGAACAGCGTCGCCGGCACGGACGCACCCCGTAGAAGGGTGCACACCGCGCAGATGCAGTCGGGGTAAGGTTAATAGCGCATGCGTGGCCTCGTGCGGTCCGATCGCCGCATGAAGGAACGCCGCAGCCCCGTTCCAACAACCTCTCCTGCTACTTCTACCCCTCTGCCACCATCCCCCACTGCCTGCATAGTATGATCCCTCTGTCAGACTGTCTTCTTCGTCTTCTGCGGGCAATGGGTCGTCGAAGGCCGAGGCCACGCGCCTTGATTCTTCTGTTTCGGCCTTTTTGGAGGTTATGTTTCGTTGGGTGCTTGATTGTTGTGTAACGGTGGTGGTTATTGCGCGGGTGGTCTGTTTTGCTGCGAGGGTAGATCGAGGTTGTATTAAATTTATGATAGAGGGGTTTGAATGTTGTAGAGGTTAGAGATTGAAGGATGAAGTTATCGGTGATGATTCTTTTTATGATTTCTTTTAAATGCTTGTTTTATCTTCCCTGGAGATGTTTTTATCGGAGATTAATTGCTTTAATAAAGTGTCTAACTTGAAAATTTGCTACCTCCTTTTGAGCTAGGACAATTTAACGTTATTATTTATTTGTTTAAATGTTTATATCGATGAAATATTTCTTAAAGATTTCCTGAGCTTTTGCATAATTAAAGGCAGGTCTCGTATATAAAGTTTCCAGATAGTTCAAGGAGTCTTGGTTACGTAGCAAATAAAGGACAACTTGTCTACCAGTACAATCCTATTTTAGTAACAAGCAATTGATCGTGTTTCACAGAGTTCGACACGAAGTAGAAACTTCCAGAGTCGAAAGTTCTGAAGGAGACCCAAATTCTTAGATTGACGAAAGAAGAATCTATAAATGTCCAAGAAGAAGAAGGAGAAGAAGAAGAAATTCTCAAGAAATCCAGAAAGGAAATACTCAATTCTTGTCGCGAACTTTCTGCAATCCCCTATACTTAGCCTTCTACACCCAAAATCCTCTATCTTTTATGATTCCAATACAATTATAGAATAGCAGTGAGCACCGAAATAAAATTCAAAGAAAATAGGAAGGTTGACATCTGTTGGCGCCTAAGGTTGGACTATTTAGGCCAGAGCCTTTCAGGATTAGCATAAAGGGACACGAGGAGCTTCCATGATCTTTCGCAGTGTCGACAAACACTTGTCAACGCCATGGGTTTTCTCGAAAAATAAGCTCGGATAGAATTCCACCACGGTGCCAATTGCTTCTCTTAGAGGACAAGTCTAGTTCTATCTCTCCTTTCCAAGAGAAAGCGCGCCGAGGGCGCCGAGCAGGGATGATTTCTGATTACTTTCTGATCACCTCTATTTGATCAGCGAATAGGATGAATTCTGCTTCATTCCTCGAGCTTCAGACCCAAAGCTAACACGGGTCTCTGAAAATTAGTTTGACTGCCATTTCAGTCTCTAAAAGGCACAAATTGAATATGGATATCTAGATTAGGAGGCTCCGTTCAATATCGTAACGAGTGGCACCATTTTGCAATAGATCTCATCCGCTCGATTAGGATACAAAGCGACAATAACGAAAGCAACGACAACCACCGGTGTATTAAGCTCGAGGAACAGAGAGGCAATTTAATTATTCAAAAACTCGGGCAAACGAAAGGTTTCCGCCGAAGTATAACGTTCAGTACAAGGTAATTCCCTTCCTCTTTTTCTTTCTCGCTCTTTCTCCCACGTTCGAGGTGCCTGCGATGTTTTCCCTTTTTCCCTTTCCTTTTTTTTTTCTTTTTTTTTTTATTATTTTTCTCCCGACGAAGCCAGGCGTTGGGATTTCAAAGAACTCGTCTTTGTACCTTCGACGATTGTGGTCCCTTTATTTTCTGCCCCTTTCATGCTCTCCACCCTTTCAAATTTTTTCCGGAAGGGGATGAACGCGCTGTGCGGGACGAGAGAAAGGAAGAAAGCAAAGGAAGAAAAACGAAAATCATCTTTTCCGTTCGCTGTTTGTATAACAGACGTCGCGTCAATCCCTCCGATGGAATCATAATTTTCGCGCGCATCCCTTCAGCGGAAAATGGCGGCCCCCTGTTCAGGAACTTTGAATCTTAACCTCTTAATCTTCCTTAAAGAATAAGTCGTGGGAAATGTCATCAATTTCTGTAATGAAATCGCTTCTTCTATCGTTAAATGTTCTTTAATTCAAGGGAATTGTGAGTACAGTTGAACTTCAACTTCCGTTCTTAAGTTTAAAATTAATTCCGAAAAATATAGCGAATATTAATGTGAATAAATATTCTTGACTCTATGAAATCAGTCAAAACTCAATTGGTTATATAAGCACATATAGCCCCAGAACAAGGAAACAGAAAAGTGTATACGTTTCCTAACCTTAAAATGTATCACTAATGTACGTAGTTACAAATGCTTGAAAATTCCCCAGGAAAGTCCCTAGATAAACGTTACTTGTGAATACAATGTCTCGTATTTATCAAGTTCGTGGAAGAAGATTGCATTTACAATTAGATAAGCGTAATTTTTCAGTGAGATCCTCAAATATCGTCGATTTCTACAGTGATAGTGGAATATCCTCTTAAATAGTGGACTGCTTTCTCTGAAAGTGAAGAAAGAAAACGCTTATGCTTATTTTCCACGGCCGAGCTCCTGTGTGCTCGTTCCAAAGATGCACTAATGCCTGATTCCTTCAAGGAAAGTTTCGTGGTCGTCGCTAAAGCGACTTCACCCGAGGCTATGTCTCCTCTAAAGCGGCCTTTAATGGCCAAAAAAGACGACACCGTCTAACGAAAGTTCGCGATATTCCCTGATTCGCCGGCAATCTTCGAGGCGCCGTTGAACAATTTTTCCTCCTTCTTGGAAATGGCAAAGTTTATGCGAATCGAGCCTGCCTCTTACCATTTCTTCGCTACTTAATCGCTCCTGTTCCTTTCCAATCTATTCTCCGTCCTTTCATAGAAACGAGACGCAAGTTTTGAGACACCGTACTTATTTCTAAAATTTCTCTCCAAGATCGGAAAATTTCATTTCGATCGCGATTAAGGATCCGTCGTATTTTACTCCGCAGATCTGGTAACATCGGATGAACCTGGTGACATTTAGCGTACACTGAAAAATTCTCTAGCGACGCGAATAGAAGAGAAAATGGCCGCTGCCTTGCATAGATATAAAATATATCGTTTTCAGCGCTTTCCTTTTTCGCTCGAGGTCCCATCGCTCGGAGGAAATGAAAGCAATGTCTTTGATAGCGTAAACGAGCGTTCCAGCTCGATCTTTCGGCGCGCTAAATTCCCGTCGATCGATCGTTTCACGCCCCTATTATATTTCCTCTCGAAAGAAGACTTCATTTTTCACCCACTATCTCCTTTTTGCTTCTCGCTTTATCTATTCCGCGAGTCGTCGCCGACAGAAACAACTTCTCTCCTGCCGTTTGACGACACCGTCCAGGAAGGTCTTGCATTTTTTCGAAAAATACCTAGCTCGTTCATCGTATTTATCGCGTGGCTGGGATTTTCGTGCTTTTCTTCGCGACAAGATTAAACCGTAAACCAAAGCTCGTCGCGTGAAATTGTCACGGTGATTTTGTCTTAACACGGACTTGGTACAAATTAACTACCATTATGCAAAGGTAAAGAAAATCCTTAAACCTTTCTCTTGTCTTCCAATTTTGTTTCTTTTTTTTAATGACATTTGATTTCTACACGCATATAAAAATTTTTTCATATATATAACACAAGAAAAAGAATGTTTAGTATAAAATTGATAAGAGATAAACTCCCATCTAAGTTTTAAAATCAGGACGAATCTTCTAACCTCTTTATTTTTCACGTAGTACTTCATTTTAGCCAAAAATATAGAGGAAATAAAAATATCTCGACATGCATGTATGTATCCTGGGAATTTACCCCATGGAAGTGCGAATACAGTTATAGTTTATAAAAAATGTATGAATTATCAAATTTGTTATCAATAGTAAATTGCCCAAAGCATAAATTTATAATGAAAACGGAAAAATCAAGAAATTCTTGGTTATTATAGAAGACACGTCGTTATTAACGAAATCGGTAACAATCGAGACTTTTTGTCAATCTTCGGTCCACCGTAGGCTATATACAGGGTGTTCCAACACAACCGGGTGATACCACATGAATAATATTCAGCAAGTACGCGTGTACTTTACTTAGCCTTCGCTGGACCAACAGTACATCAGCGTACTCGGTGAATATTCAAACTCTATTTCCCCGATAACGAAGCTTCGAATGAAAAAATTTTATTCTTCATTTTTGGTGTATTTTTTCATATAGAATCACCAACTTCTCGGTTTTACAGTCTTCTGCTGCTGCGATACCCTATATAGTTCGTACAAGGCGACGTCGTTTTCGCTAGATAGTTCATTGACCGGACGAGAGACGTGGCAGGCCCAGGAATTTGAAATCGTCATAGCACAGGCAGGCACCGAACCACGCCGTATAATTCCAAAGCCATAACAAATTTTCAATGTTTTGATTTCTCTTATCACTCCTGCTCGAACCGGCGACTTCCTGTTATGTCAAGTGTTCCAAGAAATGTTTTGGAATGTAACGTTGTATTTAACGAGGCGACCGTTCACGTATCTGCCTATTGTATTCAGCGGATTTTACGGTCCGCTGCGCATTGGAAGTGGAAGGGGAAGTCGCTTCTCGACGAATCCGCGTACCGTCTAGCGGAAACTACAGCGTGGTTAGGTTAGTCCACTACGGAAACTCGTGGCGACCGGACGTGTCGCCTTGTACGGACGTAACCGCGGCTTATCTGCTACGTAGTACGTTCATTTCTTTTCTCTTATCATTCATACGCTACTGCTAACTTCCTTCGATTAATACCTGCTTATCTATTAACTTTTTGAGCATTATCATAGCAAATATATATAGGTTTCTACATCTTTTCTGGTTTTATAATTTTGATAGTACTTTAAATTTGGTCGTTGAGGTTACCAGTAGTTTAAATTTAAATACGATCGTTTAAATGTATCATAATTAGTTACGGTTTCGTATATTTGTTTTAAATTTCATATTTTCTTTTCTGCAGATCATTAATTGATTGCAAGGATCACGTAAGACGCAGTGGACGCCAACGAGCGTATTTGAGAACCAAATATGGCCGCCAACGTATTGGAGAATCAAATATGGCCGCCATGATGGTTTGTCCTCGAATCTGCTAACCTTTCATGAAAACTTGGTAATATTGAACTTATTATAACGAAACCAGAGGTAACATAGCTTCGTAAGTACTTTGACTTGTTGAATCATCTTTAGATGCATTATATTTGAATAAGAAATTGAAATAACTCACATTTTACTGCATTTCGATCGCGAATATTTTGAAACAACGTCAT